GCAGGCGGGAATCGAACTCATGCGGAAGCGGCTTCAGACCCTCAGTGCTGTGCTTCAACCCGCTGCGCCACCAGGGAGGGCCAATTTTTTCTTTTTTATCTGGTTGCCCACATGAGCTTCCTTACTGGTTTGCCATTATCTCTCAGTCTTTAGTTCATATGGTGGCCTGAATCATCTCAAAATATAAATTGAATCATGTCACCATGCTGCTGGGAACCCTTTTTCATCAAACTTTCGTTGTTTTTAAGGTGAAATCCTAAACCCTTCATGTGGTCTCTAAAGTCTTGTGTAAATTGGCTCCATAAGCCTCTTCAACCTCATCTTGCTGTTGCTATTCCCCCTCTAATTGGCCCCTTGACCTCTGAGCTATATGTGCATTAACCTGTTACTTCCTGGAAGTTGCCTGCTGCCCTTTCAGTTGCTGCACGTGCTTTTCCACACCCTCTTCCCAATGCCAGCCTAGCCTATTTTGCAGATATCAATGGAAATGAAACTTGCTTGGGAAAACTTTTCCTAACCATGCCCTCTTCCTGGGTCCCCACATTGTTTTCTAGTACTCCCTTTAATTTCTCCTTTTGTAACATGGCTCATCATGACTCATGACTACTCGTGTGTTTCTCCCAAGAGAATGCAAATACCACTGTGGTGAGGACTGTGTTCCCAGCTGAGCCCCAGGCCAGCACAGTGCTCAGAGCTGTGGGCTTCCTGGTAATACAAGTGAGTGCAGTGAACGACCTCAGTTGCAAAGATAAAAGACAAAACCTGAATCCAGCAGAAGCATATGTGAAATAAACTGTTAGCCACAGCATTTAATTTTGTAAATGATATTGACCAGATTGAACAGTTAACAAAGCTACAGGGCACAGAGTAGTAGAGACTAGTTGTTTTCTAAAAAAGATTTTGTTTTATGCACGGAGGGGGCAGAGGGCTCCCCTCTCTTGGTGGTCACCTCCCTCCTGGACGGTACTGAGCGCCTCTCTTTTCTGCTTGGCATTGACAGGTGTCCTCATCCTTTTCCTGGTGAGCTTAAGCTCCCTCTTGTCCTGGGAGCCCGTGAGCAGCTCTGTGATGCACCACCCAGAGCGTCATGGCCGTGGCCATTAGATAGCACACACAGAGTCATTGCCAGCTGGGCTCTGGGGTTCAGGTGGTTGCAGACACTACCTAGTAGAAGTTAGTTTTTATATCAGCTGCTCCATTTTTATATTGATACGCTTGTATTATGTTGATATAAACTGTCTTATCAGTGACACAATTCAGGTTTATAACTTCTGAAAAACCTCAGGTTCAAATAGCTAGTTTTTGGTTATGAGCATGTTGGACTTGAAAGTGCTGACTGATGAACATGTATTCTAGAAATATCCTAGATACAGTAAAAGTCCTAAAATTACTATGATTAGAAACTGAGGCCCTATTTCAAGTCAGTATTTTAGGCACAGGCGTTTGGCCATCACAAAGTACCAGATCAAATGCTTGGCAGGCCTGAGCCCTCTACTTGGACTATGCAGTGGGCTGTGTGTTTTCCCACCTTCATCCAAAATGAAAATGTTGTTTCCCGTTTTCAGCATGTTTGCCATGTAAGAGGTTGTGAGGAAATAAATTTCAAATAGTGCTGAGATTTCACAATGTAGTATAGGCACAGACCAGACAGAAACTCCTTTATGTATTGTTGAGGTCTAATTCTTGAGACCTGCTTCATAAGCAGTGACTGGCCTCAACTGCGCATTTGTCTTTCTGATGGATAGGAGGAAAGATGTGGCAACTGATGGTTTGTGTAGCAGAGATAGGTATCAGTGAAGACTGGCATTAGATACCTACTGCTATGTAACAACTTACCCTACAGCTCAGGAGGTTAAAAGAACATGATTAATTATCTCAGAGTTTCTGTGGGTCAGGAATCTGGGATCAGCTTAGCTGAGTTCCTTTGCCTTGGAGTCTCTCACTCAGTTACAGTCAAACTGTCATCTCAAGATTTGATTGGGGAAGAGGAATTCAGGTAACTCAAGTGGCTATGAACAGACTTCAGTTCCTTGCCACATGGGCTTTTTCTTACAATTTAGCTAACAACATGATATCCAGTCTCATTCTTGAGAATGTTAGGTAAAACTGTAAGCAGGAAGGTTTGGGGCAGTGGTTCTGCCTTACTTGGTCTTCCCCAAGTTGAGGCATCCTAATGCCTCACCTAAGAGTTTCCATCGTAATGCCTCACCTAAGAGTTTCCATTCTCCAGTAAAATCTCCCCAGCCCCTCTCTGTTACTAAAGTCAAGGGACACATTAAGCTTCAGTTTACTTATCATTCACAGGCCCACAAATCATTGTTCTTGCAGTAACCCAGCAACTCAGGTTGCTTAACCCCTGAACCTGGTGCCTTCTTTTGGTCTTACTAAAAAGCACTAGCTGGATGGTTTGTTTAAAGCAGGCTGGTTTGATTAAGTGCCTTAATACTTAATACATTATACATGACTTAATACTTTATACATTATTAAGGAATACACAAAATAAATTGTTGGAATACTGCTATTAGAGAAATCAAACTTTCTAATTGTGTGACAGACATAGGTTGAATGGTATAAAATACAGATTGGGGGCCTCCCTGGTGGCTTAGGGGTTAAGAGTCTGAGGGCTGTCACCTCTACAGTCTGAGTTCGATCCTCAGCCAGGGAGCTGACCCCACATACGGTGCAGCAGACCTCTCCTGTCACCCGCTGCTAACCTCAGTGTACTTCAGGAGATCTGCCTGTTCTCCTCCCCACTCTGTCTGTGGTGAATCCTCACATACACCCCACCCCACCCCCATACCTCTGGCCTACATCCCAGTTCTACACAAAAGTAAATATAATTTTAAAACATTTTAATTAAAAATAAATAAAATGCATTACATAGCCCATGGGAGAGATTCGCTTTCCCAATACTGACAGTTTTGTATCTCACATTTTTCCACTTTCCCGAAGTGTTTGCATTAAGTTCAGTAATATCCCCACATGGAATTTATAAACTTTCATTCGTTTTCTCATAAACAAGTGCCCTCTACAATTTGTTCTCTTGCTCTTGAATATGACGGTTATTTTGGTTTTCCTTTTTCTGTTTGATCATGTACACTCAGGATTTACTTTGGAGCGGTATTTTAGAAAATTGAACTCCGGTTCTCTGTGGCCGATTTCTCTATTGATTGGAAGCAATCACTGTGCTGATTAAAAAAAAAAAAAAAAAAAAAAGCTGCCAAGTGAGTCTTTGGCAAATAATATCATATACCCTCCTACTTACCACCTTTCAGCACCGGTAAGAGTGGATCTGGCATTTAGAGCTGACTTCTGTCATTATGCTGTAGATGGAGGTGGTCATAATAAAAAACTTTTCCTCCTTCTATTACTTTATGGAATTATTATTATGGAGTAATGTTTGGAATACTCATTGATTTCATTTGGCTCTGTGTTGAAAAGATATATTTTTTAAATGCCCTATTTAAACCAACAGTGAATTAAGTAGGTTTTGTCTTAAATGAAGTTCTTTTTTGGAGCTGTTAAAAAAACAAACAAAAAAAAACTATGAAATTCAGCTGAGTAAATTTTAAACTTTATTGGCTTTATTCAGTAATTCATGAATTAGACTGTATTTTAAACTAGCCAAATAGAACAGAGCTCTAAAGAACTACAGCAAATAAAAGACTTTTATAGGCAAACCAGGGTGTGACGACAAGGAAGTTAGCCAGGCAAAGAGTGTATTATTTTTTGGCACGATCACCTGTCAATGGCAAGGGTCTGTTAGGCAGATTATCTTACTAGTGTTGACCAGGTAATTCCAGATTGACTGGTTTTAAGATTTCACTCCTGGGTGAAGCCAAAAACGAATTAAGTAATAAATCTCAGCTTGGTGGTTGGAGACACTTAGCATAAATGACTGTTTTTGGCACTTGTTGTCTTGTTTTTGACAGAACTATCAATTAGCTTTTTTTTTTTTTAAATAAAGATTCATTTATGCACACAAGAACTGGGGAACAGGTGGGGCTGGAGAGAGGTGAGAGGATTCACCAGAGACAGAGTGGGGAGCAAAACAGATTTATTGAAACACACTGTTGAGGGAAGCATTGGAGAGGTCTGCTCTGCCATGTGAGTCACCGCCTTGGCCAGGGATCAAACTCGAGCTGCAGTGGCCGTGGATAGCCTCGTAAGTGCTGTGCTTCAACCCCTTGCACCACCAGAGAGGGCCCTAGTTGTTCTTCTATTGTTCTTTACGTTTCACAATTCTGTCTTGTCTTCTTAGAAAGTTAGAATTTAAGAAGCTCCTATTAGGCTAGACAATATTTTAAACTTTAAAGGGAATTAAGCAATATCTCTTAGTATTTAATTTTTTTAGTATTCAGAAGCAGAAGAGGACATTTCGTGGATAGTGCCAAGATGGAAATGAGTAAAGAAGTAATTTGTTAAAGAAAATTTCAAGAAGCTCCAGGGAGAGTGGAGGTGGGCATGCAGTGGAGATTGAGGGGAGGCAAGATGAAAAGGGAATGTTGCCTAAACTCAGTGACTTGGAGGTATTTATGGGGTTCCTAATAACAAAAGTTACCAGATGTACAAACCTCAGTTTTGCTTTTCAGGAGTTGAGAAAATGACTGGAAAATGAAAAATTAGGTATATGAAACAGATACTGAAGTACTATTAACTCTGTGCTCCCTAGTAGAGAAGAGGTGAGTGAAGATTTCGTTTTTGAAGTGTGGTTAAGATTTAAGAACAGAATAAAGATTACACTGTAGATGATAGTGAACATATCAAAAGAGATTTAAGGCCAAAGAAAACAATTGTTTAAATATTTATGTACTTGATAAAGTCATAGCCAGACAAGCACATAAGCTGTAGATAAAAATTAAGCCCAGCAAAAACTGGAACCAGAATAACCAGAATATTAAACAAGTATAATATATTTATGAACAAATTATTTTATAAAAATTAAAATTATGACAAGTAAAAATTCTTATAAAAGATAAAGATGTGGCCCTCCCTGGTGGCGCAGCGGGTTAAAGCACTGCACTGAGAAACTAAGGCCACTTCTTCATGAGTTCGATTCCCGCCTACCCCGGAGGTGACATGGCATGGCAGACCTCTCCTGGCCCGCCCGCTGCTCTCCTCAGCAGTGTACTTCGTCAGTCTGCCTGTTCTGCTCCCCACTCTGTCTATGGTGAAACCTCTCACCGCTTCTGAGCCTCTGGGCTGTACCCCAGTTCTGTATGCACAAATAAATAAATCTTTTTTTTTTTTTAAAGATTTATTTATTTGTGCATACAGAGCTGGGGTACAGGCCAGAGGCTCAGGGGCGGTGAGAGGCTTCACCAGAGACAGAGTGGGGAGCAGAACAGGCAGATCTACGAAGTACACTGCTGAGGGGAGCAGCGGGCGGGTCAGGAGAGGTCTGCCACTCCATGTGGTCACCTCTGGGGCAGGCGGGAATCGAACTCACGCGGAAGTGGCTTTAGCTTCTCAGTGCTGTGCTTTAACCCGCTGCGCCACCAGGGAGGGCCAAATAAATAAATCTTTAAAAAAAAAAAGATAAAGATATAAAGATGCATACCTCAATAGAAAAATGAATAAAGTAGGAAATACAAATGGTCAGTAAGCATATCTCAAAATAGGCAGCCTCAGTAAAATCAAGGAAATATAAATGTAAGTAACAAATTGCAAGTTTAAAAAATTAAACTGCAGATTTTAAAATTTAAAAATGTAATTGCAGATTAAAAAATTAACATAAATATTGAGAAACAGGCACTTAGACTGATGAGAATTTAAATTCTTATGGCAGTGTGGCAGTAAATCAGGAGCCTTAAAAATAAAACATAGGGGCCCTCCCTGGTGGTGCAGCAGGCTAAAGCACAGCACTAAGAAGCTAAAGCCACTTCAGCATGAGTTCGATCCCCGCCCCGGCGGTGACCACATGGCGTGGCAGACCTCTCCTGACCCGCCCGCTGCTCCCCTCAGCAGTGTACTTGTCATTCTGCCTGTTCTGCTCCCCACCCTGTCTCTGGTGAATCCTGCATCTCTGATCTATACTCCAGTTCTGTATGTATAAATAAATCTTTTAAAAAAAAATAAAACACAGGTTTCCAATAACCATAGAGTGGTTCTTCTAGGAGCTTATCCTAAGGAAATACTTAGAAAAGTTGAATGTAGAAGTTCATCCAATTTCATAGTCTAGTAACACTGGAAACAGCCTGAAGGGTAGTGTGACTGTGTTAACATAGAACTCAGATGGAAGAATTAATGACTCATGATAGTATTACCTGAAGAATGGATTTTGGGGACTGTGTATAGACCTGCATACATGGAGGAAGTTGAGAAGGTATATTATTAATCATTTGTAAATTTGGATTGTTGGACAACTGTTGATAATCTCAGTTTTCTCTTTTTTGCTAAACAATGCATTGAGCATTTATTATTTTTTAAAGTAAAATAGAGCTTGAGAAGTAGGGTAAGAGACAGTTAAGGAAGCTATGTGATGTCTAGAACCTACAAACATCTGGCTTGAAAAACCTGGCTAGCTAAACCTGGGTATAGTTTCTTTTGACTCCTAAAGAATTGTCCATCTGTTTAGTTGATAAGCACAGGATATGGTTATAAAAGCTTGGATTTATAACAGTTACAGGCAAGCAGCTTGTACTAAATCAATAGTAACTTTGATTTAGAACTTCCGAAGCTTTTTGAAGGATCTGATTATTAGAGATTTTCATTTTCTTGTTCCTTGTATTTCTCTTATCCTTCCTCTTGTTCTTGTTCAGAGTCTATCATAATGAATGGATCCAGTGTAGCGAGTACATCGCCAAATGTAAAATCCAAAGAGGACCAGGGATTAAATGGGCATGATGAAAAGGAAAATCCATTTGCAGAATACATGTGGATGGAGAATGAAGAGGATTTCAACAGACAGGTAAAGAAAAGTGGAACGCTAATGATAATGTAACTCAGCCTTTACAACATTTTTTTGGCAGTCTTAACAAAAGGAAAGGGTTCATGGATATTAGAATAACTTAAAAATACATAACACCTGGTCTGGGCTGACCAAGAATTATCTTCAGGTGGTAAGAGACCAGAGTACAGTATCTGGAAGAAGATTCTGGTATTTTTTTCACCTTGCTGATTAAAAGAGAATCAAATGCCATGGTAATCTGGTGGAGACTTCTAGGAAACAGCAGCTGTGTGCAGACAGGCCGGTCTGGCATGTCCCAAACAGTACTCGGACTGGCAGAGTGTGAGGCTGAGACAGAGAAGCAGCTTGTGTGGGGGAAAAACTAGACTGCTTCCACAGAGGGCCAGCCATAATTTGTAGCTTTATATCTCCTTAACAGAGCTGGGTAAGCACCTCATGGATTCTTTGACTACATGGTCCCTTCTGTGGTGTTGCTCTGCCACCCTCATGGCATGTATTAGCTGAATAACTGAAAGACAACTGGAAGCCTGGTAGCTGGGAAAGGGAGAGAGCCAAAGGCAGGCCCACACAGGGGCCTTTTTTAACCTCACCATACCAGAGTGTTCATTCACATCCCTTTAGGGAATGTTGTGTAAATGAGTATTTGCATGGCCACATCCAGATGGGAGGTGGGAATTTGAGTTTAACTGTACAGCTTGGTCTTCTGAAAAGAAGGAAACAAGTTTAGGGACCGAGCCAGCAGTTTCTACCCCAAGTGTCTCACTGTGTCATGATCTGTGAGAATGGCACATAGCTAATGCTTCTCGTCGCAGCCCTGTGTGCAGGTCACCATTTAATAAGGGGGTGGATGGGGGGAGGGGGGAGAATTTGCGGTGAGATCTTGAGTAGTCATGTTAAGTCATAAGTTGGAAGTAATTTCATTGTTATTTTAACTACTTCATAACTTAAACTACTTGATTAAAAAAAATCTGGCTAATTGTGATGCTGAAGTACTCTTTTTTTTTATTTGAAGTCTTAATACCAATGACTTTCCTTTTGAATTCATGAGATTGACTGTATGGGCTAATTGAGGTGGTTTCTATTTTGCTTGACCTTTCCTCTGTTGATGCTGTTAGTAAGCTGTTAATTTGTCACCAGATGCAGGAAAGGAGTCGTCAAATGTGAAGCAGTCTTGTTAAAATCAACTAAATCTGCAGAGAACCCTACTCTCTACCAAGAGTTAATGATGTCTGCAAAGGGGTAGAAAAAATACATACATATGTCGCCTTAGTTTAGGGCAATCAGTAAGAAATACGGAGCTATTGTTTATGTTTAAATACTCATTTATTCTTGTTTTGAAAGAACAACTGCATTGATGATTGTCTATTGGTATGCCCCAAAGTGTTAATTATATCTTTCTAAGGCTCTGAAAGTATTTTTCTCCCTTAGGATACCTCCTTGCAAGAAAAGTGGGCATAAACTTAAGTTGTTTTTGATTTAATTCTTACTGTCAAAGTAGTAGTCTAGTTACTTGTATTTGTAAAATGGAAAATTTAAGAAGTGTTGCTTCTTAAGATTGAGAAGTGAATTCAAGCTCAAGTGACTTTCTGTACCAATGAATAGAAAATGTTACATACTAGAAATCTTAATGGATCTGTGAAGGCTTGGAATTACTGCTGTTTTGAATTTAGCTATTTCCTCAGTCTTATTGTTGATAGAACTTGGTAGAAAAAGATGTTTTCTCTAGCCTATCATCAGAAACGTCTTCATTCTTAGTAGAGTTCATTCTTAATTGCAGAGTAGCAGCCTCTCAAGAAGGTGGTGAAAAACTGGAAGAGGTGAGTGCTCTGGACAGTGAGTCTGAGCTCCATCCCTTTGCTTGTAACAGGTAGAGGAAGAGCTGCAGGAGCAAGACTTTTTGGACCGCTGCTTCCAGGAGATGTTGGATGAAGAAGACCAAGACTGGTTTATTCCTTCACGGGACCTGCCTCAGGCCATGGGACAGTTACAACAACAGTTAAATGGACTCTCGGTCAGCGATGCTCATGATTCTGAAGATATTTTGGTAAGAGCCATATGTATTTAGTTTCACATATGACATAGAGAAAAGGATACAGGACTTGGAGTCACAGAATGTCTTTGTGGCTTTGCTTCTTAGGCAAGGTTCTGGAGCCTTCCAAGCTGCTGTTTCTTCACTCATGGTGTGGGCATTAGCTGAGGTGGTTGAAGCTGTGGCACACCTCCTAAAGACCTGGGAACTGCCCTGCAGCATCACCAACTCTCATTTGCTCAGAGGGCTTTTCAAAGTAGAATCAGGATAAGGGTAGAAACTTGAAAACAAGAGAGTTTTGGTTTTCAATTAGCATTTGCTGCTGTTCTTTCCTTAGATTGCCCCTGTCTTTATGGTTCTGAAAGACACTGTTGTAAAAATGTCCTGTTCATTTTGGAAGGCGTCCACTCCGAAGATGCCATTTCCCACTTATAACTAGAGAACCTAATAAATGAATTCCCTGCCCTCTACGTTTACTTATGTCAGAATTATGCCCTCTGTGTTTACTTATGACTGATACAGTTCTCGCACAGCTTGTGTTCTGAATGATTGTGCCCTGCAGTTTGCCAAGGTTTTGAGTACTTACAAGGGAATTCGGTAACAAAGAGAGTACAGAAAGATTTTTTTAAATAACCAAAGGATTATGGTAAGCAAACTTAGTTGATGAAATACGCCAGTTTTCATTGCGTTAAGATACTCAGTGCGTTGAGAAATTCTTTTGGGGGTTGAATTTATTTACCAGCCTCTAATGAAAGCATCTGGAAGGTACAGGAGTCTTAAAGCAAGAAGGGAAAATGAGGTTGCTCAGGACTCAGTGTGTCAAGAGCCATTGAGAGCAGCCCAGCAGTAACAGCCTGTGTTGCAAAGAATTCTACTTCTTTTCTCTTCTTGAGACTAAGAGGAAGGTACTGGGAATAATGGAAGCAGAGAGAAAACAAGCTTTCAAGTGCAGCTTGCCTTGGCATTTATCATCTCTTGATTTTTATTTCAGAGCAAAAGTAACCTGAACCCGGACGCCAAGGAATTTATTCCCGGAGTCAAGTACTGAGCTGACAGAAAGCTTTGAGGAGGACTTGTCTGTCCCCCCATCTGGGGACAGTGCTGCACAAAAGGGCAGAGCTAAAGAAGGGGGGTGGGCGGGCAAAGGGGTGCACAGCTGGGAAGGGGAACAGTGGTTTAACTTGACACTGTGACTAGAGGAACTAATGTGCTCAGTCTTACGCTCCATACCTCTGAGTAGTTCTCTTTTTGTTCGACTTTCATTTGAAGCAGTTTCCTATACTATTGCTTTTGGCCGCAGCAGTGGCTCTTTTTAGTTAGCCATCTTTTCCCCCTTCATCAGAAGTGTTCTGCTGAAAGTTAAGTTGACCAAGAAAATTGGGTGTTAAGAAATGCCCTGCTCACCCCACTGTATACTTGCCAGGGACAGTGAACACCCAAGAACTATGAAGAGAGTTTAAGACAGATGGGAAGAGGGACAAAAGGAAGAAGCAGGTATTGCAAACCAGGGTACACCTCTGAGCTCCCCTGGCCCCTAGGGATTCCTGGCAGTGGGCCAGGATTACTAGTGACCTGCTGGTAATTACCAGGGAGATTCATCTCCTTGCCCTGAACCCCATTCAAGAAAACAGACTCAGAGAACTAGCATACAGTCACTATTTTTACTGGTTCATGGTAGTTGAAAGTCAGAAAGGGAGGTCTGTGGAGGGTTGTTGTCACTTGAGTCTCTCAGTTGCAGTTGGCTGTTCCTAAGCTGCTCTCCACAGCCACCATCGAACTCATCATCAGGGGGAAGACAGTAGGGTTGATTTGTCACTTTATCCCTTACAGCACCTAGTCCTCTGTTGCCTTCCACCCCAAGCCTATTTTTAAGAAAAGATTGTTACCAAAGGGGGTGAGAGGCATCAGCTAGAGCCTAGAGAAGTTATCCTTGAATGGTTTCTTGTTTATTGCATCTCACATTTACTTTGACACTTTTCCCCAGCTCCACGAACATTCACTCCAGCAGGTATATTAACTCCCATAAAAAGGTTAATGTACCTTTATAAGTAAATCTGTCTTTCACAGGACACTAGCAAGCAGCTCAGTTTACAACTTGGATACTTCTCTGAACCTTACAGAGTTATGCAAAGGGACTCCAAAGAAGCTGAGGAGAGTGAGTCCCAACTAAATTTGGAAGACTCTGTGACCCACGGAAATAGTTTCAGCAATGAGACACTTGTCGTTCTCACACCCCCAGCTCTGCAGATTTGCTAGGTTCCTCTCTGGGTGCATTTCTTTTTTTCTTTCCTGCCTGTAAGTCACGGGATTTTGTTCCTTTATGAGTATTGACTAAATTGGGCATCAGGAGCTGTGATAGAGATGTAGGTGGCAGAGTCAGGTTTTAAGAAGAGCATGTCCAGTCCTGATCATTCTCCCAGGACCAGGGCTGCAGGGCCTGAGGAGGACATGACTTCTGGGTGACTGCTATTGTCTCATGTGGTAGGCCTAGCAGGAAAAGGTGGTGTAACTTGAAATACAGTCTGTATATTCAGTATGTGGATGTGGGACAGAGGTCGGAAGAAAAGGACGAGGGTCAGGAAAGCCGAAGTTTTTCCTTTTTCTCATGAGCTCCCATTAGCTTTTTTCTCCATTAATTTTTTGAACAGGCACACACTAATGTCAGATTTAAAATAAGAACCCACACCTTTTCTTCCACGTCATTTGAAAAAATGGTCTACGATAGTTCGCCTGTTGAGACACACTTAGGGAGCTTGTATGGCCAGATGTGCACATTCATCTCCAAAGCCTCTACCTCGAGAAACTAGAACTCTTAACTTGTTTTTCAGGGAGGGCTATGAATAAATAAACTTATTAATCCCAGACTCAGCTGGGGTTTTCGCATCTAAAAATGACAGGGTCTATTAGCAAATAGCGGTTCCTCTCTTGTGGGACTGCTTTTCCTCCTTCGGTCTCCATTAGCTTGTACGAACTCAGAATTCTGAAGGTTGTTGGAAATGTGTTGGGTTTGCACAAGGAGTCATTCTCTATACCATGCATGCGTGTCTCCGTAATGAGTTCAATGGCTTTTGGTCTGGAAAGTCTGACTGGGTCGAGAGCAAGGCATTTCTTCAGCCTGAAGAAAGCTTGCTTTTCTGACACAAGTACAGACCCAGATGCTGTATGCGGTCCCAGGTGCCTGTCCTTCCATTGCCTGTGTAGTTGGTTCCATTTTGGACGTCAGTCTTCAGCATGGTTTCAAGGCTTATTTGGTCAGGACTGAAAGAGCTTGCCGCCCAAAGAGCAGAACCCGGAGGCTGGACTGTTCCGTCCTATTCACAGTGTGCAGCGACTCCAGGGTTAGGAGCAGCTAGCCACTCTTAAAACGTATGGACTTGTGGTTCTGACGGTTCCTCGTGTAACTCAGCTCTTTTCTCTATGTATTTTATGTTATGAGGTGGAAGCACAGTTATGTAGATTACAGGCTACGGTTAGAGCTAACAAACCTCTCAGCAGAAGATGCCTAAGTTTTCTTGTTGGAAATTCACTAGGGAAAGACTGGGAGCCTCTCTCAGTCTTCTTCATAGGAGAGGTTTTGGGTACAGCTCAGTCTAGCCACCTTTAGTCTTTAGTGGGAGGATGGTATTTATCAATGATTAATTTGATGTTGAATTTTAAGCCACTACTGCGTTCAAACTTTGTTTTTTGTTTTGGCAACTGGAATTTTGAGAATTTGAATGGAAATAGAGTATGTATTTTTAACAGTTGTCAACTCTGGCTGGTTCCAGTGTTAGTTTAATAGTGACTAACTTCTGGTTTTTGTGGTTATTTGACTCTTAAAACTCTGAAGGTAGAAATTCTCTCTTGTTCTTCAGGGGAGAGAAAATGTCAAGGAAAGGCAATTTCAGTTTCTCTAGGCTTTGAACTATAGCTGAAAACTTGATGGTCACAGCCTGCGTAGCTTTGGTTCAGTTCTTGCTGCAGCAGTTGACTTTTGAGGATCATGTAAGGTCAAAACAAAATAAGGCTGGACCTTTGCAGCATCTTTAGTTTAATGGCTGGGGTCTGTTTCATGGGGCCTCTATAGTGAGGGGATCGCTATAACACTAACTGGCTCTGAAAATGTTCTTAGTGAACTACTAAGCGACAGTTTTTTAATTGTATGTTGCTATAATGTCGAAGTTTGTCTTGATTGTAGAGGCTGGATGGTAGTCAGTTGACTAGTCTGGCGGTTTACATGTGCCAGAGGAAAACTGTGTCAAGTAGCAACCAAAGAACCCAGCTTCACTGAATGTTTTTGTCAGTGCTGCTGCAAACCCCACGTGAAACATTGGAAGCCCAGGAATCTTACCCCACTGTGATGGGAGTGTTCCTTGATGGTTCCCTCAGCGGAAGTTAATGACGTTTCTTGGTATGTGGATGAGGTACGAAAACAGGCAAAAACCTAATTTGCCCATGATTTGGAGATGTCCGGCCATTGGGAAAGCCACTCCACAGCAGTAGTAGAACCCTCATTAGTTTATGTTGGTGGAAAGAACAGAGGATTGACCAAGTCTGGTGTGAATCACAAATGTTGCTGTCCTGCCTCTCCCACAGTCCCTCGTGAATCCCTCCCTCCTCCTCCCCATTGCCCACCCCTGGTGCATTTTGCAGCCAGCTCTTTGCCACCTTGTGAATTTCCTCCACAGACTTGGTTAGTCACAATTTGAGAAGTCTTTCTGCCACCACTTTGTTTTTTATCTTTTGCCTTTATTTCTCCCTTCTTAAAGCTGCAGTTGGTGACGAAGGGATTAAAGAGCAGCAGACCAACCCAAGATACACTCAAGTTTCCTGCTTACTCCCTGGCTATCACCTGCCTCACCACCTTCCCATTGTCCCCCTCAATCTAGCTTTTTCAGAGGAATCAAAGGAATAGGACAGCTGAGTATGCAGATTCCATAATGCACCTAAGAGATCCACTGAGCCAGGGGACAGGAAAGAAATTTGCAAAGGAAGTAAAGTTAAAAGCAACCTCTTTATTCCAAAAGCCCCCTTAGATCTTGTTAAGCGGAGTCTTAACTTGTGAGGTTTGTTTGAGCTTTTTTCCCCACTCCTATGTTCTTACTGGCTACTTTTCATTTAAAAATAAGGAAACATCCTAGGATATTTAATTCTGCAGAAAAATTGACCTGAAAGAGTATGCTGTTTACTTTAAGACAGCACAGTGTTTTCACTCTGTAGTTCTACAGTAAGCGATAATCCTGTCCTACTGATTGTGAGTCTTCAGGAATATTATAATGCTGGATGGTGATTTGGAAGTAGGAAGCCTTCCCCACCCCCCCCTTAAACTTTATTGAAGCATATTTTACATATTATCAAATTTACCATATCAAGTGTAAAATTCAGTGATTTTTAGTAACTTTCCTGAGTGGCACAGCCATAACCATAACTCAGTTATACATCATTTTTACCCTTGCCCCAGCAACACCCTTCATGCCTATTTACATGGTTCCCAGCTCCAGGCAGCTACTAATTTTTTTGTTTATAAATTTGCCTTTTTTGGATGTCGTATCAATGCAATCACATCATGTGTGGTCATCCCTGTTTTGTTTTTTTTTTTTTTACTGAGGCTGTTTCTGAGGTACGCCAGTGAAGTTCACCATTATGCTGGTATTTTGTTCTTTACTGTTAAATATTATTTCATTGATGGAACAATATCTGATGGGAAACATCTGAACTTTCTGCAACAGTATCCTACAAAGCTGAGCATGTATATGATGGGGCTGCCTTTGTTAGAAGGAGCACAGCCAGCAGAGGAAGTCAACAGAAGGAAGGGAAGGGAGCTTGTGGAACAATAACATACCACAGTTTGCCTGCCAAGAGTCTTATAAACGCCTGTGGTCTGAATGACGCCCTCAGAACACAGGAGTCACAGGTGAAACTACTGTGCGTGTCAGAGGTACTGCTTCTCAGCCAACTTTGCCATCAGAAAGACCACGGCAGTAGCCTGAATTGAAGCTGAAATTCTGTTTTGCAACTTCTTCTTTATAAGGAACTTTTGTGCTGTCTACACATCAGGACTAATGAAGCATCTGGTAATAAGTACGAGCACATGTTTTGAGTGAACAAGAAAGTGAAACCATCAATACTTTGTTGGATGTTATTCTCCATGAATGAAAGGGGAAATATCTGAACTTTCTGAAACAGTTATCATCTCCTACACAGCTGAGCAGTACCTTTGCTGAAAGTAGCCAGCAGAAGTCAAGAGAAGAAAGGGAAGGGAGCTTGTGGAACAAGAGCCCCCTTAAGGGTCTTGTATAGCTCAACTGCGTCGGTGTGGCTGAGGTGCTGGTGGCACCCGGGTGGCTTTAGTACCTCCTGCACGCCTAGCTCAACTTTGGACATTTATCCCTGTTTCACAAGTGTTCAAAATCTGTTTTTGCTCTTTTTTCCCCCTCAAACACTAGATGGTAGTTAATATTTCCTTGGGTTGGGGTGGGGGGACAAGTCTTTAAAATAATTTTCATAAAAATTAAAAAATGGAAAAAAGTACTTTTTAAAAAATTTGCTATACAAATCAAATGGCAGCTGTTGAAAATCTCAATAAAAGCACTTGCCAGCATTGGTACCGTTTGCGTAAGACTGGGTCATTGTGCGTATACTACAAGGAGATATGTGTGGTGTATGTGTGTCTCAAGGCTCATCACTTTAGATGCCTAAATTTCCATTCTAAATATTACTACAAAATAACAACATTGGCTTGGAAGTCGTCCTGAGTGAACCCCACCTCCCCCTTCTCTGTGCCTTCAGCCTAAACCACAATTTGTGAAGGTGTGACAATTCCCTGCTGTGGCTATTATGAAAATTAGATGTAATTCAAATCTAATTTAAGGATTACATTTATCTGGCACATAATGTGCACTATATACATATATATATATATATATGTGTGGTAGCAATAGTGGCAGTGTGTACAGTTTTGAACAATGTTTCTAATTTATACTTGAGCATAAAAGGGAATTGAATTTTTTTTTCCTGTTTCTAGGCAAAATGACTTCATCTAGAAAACAAGGATTCTGTATTTGCATTTTAGCACTGACAAGAACCTGCGACATTCCAAGACTGTCTTGGCCACCAGGGCTACTAGGTTACCAACTAGATGTTCCTGCTGGAGACTAGTTTTGTAATTCACATTTAATTTGTACATAGCTCAGATCTCACAATAATTGTCCAAGGGGCTCACACCATGACCCCTAAGATTTGCTGAGGGCTGTCACTTTTGCTTCCTTCTTAAACCATGAGGAAAGGAAGCCTGAGTTTTCTTGCCTATGTCGAGCTTTTTGAGGTACCATAGTTATGTGTATTAGGATCTAAACTATTCAGTGTAACAGCCTTGAAAATGGAACAGTGTATTCACTCATTTTTAAAAAAATACATTAAAGTTATTTTATGTAGTAAGTACAGAAAAGCATGCATTGTAAATATGCAGTTCCATAAATTTTCACCGACTTTCAGTTGGTATAAAATGAGTACTCAATTACAAGTATATGAAGGCATTCCATGAATCTAGAACTTGTTTCAAGCTCTCCTGCCTTGTCAGAAGGCTGCCATAGTCTCACATAAGATACATACTTCCAATACCCGGTAGATCAGAATCACATTAACTGCTCCTCATACCTTATTTGAGAAAGAGTTAAGTTTAAAAATAAAGGGAGAGAAACATCAAAACTCACTTTTGACATTTTTTATGGCAACTTCTGTAATAAAAACCTTACTGTGATAAGCCACTTCATCACATCGCCTTTGGAGATGTGTTCCTAACGAAACTAGAAATAACTCTTGACCTTGCCACTTCTGGTACTGCCTCCATTATTTTCAACCAACATTTATTTGACAATTATGTGCTAGAACTAAAACCATCAAGATAGGCGCCTTGCTCTACTCTAACTACAACTGCCAGCTGTCCGACTAAAAGAGACTCCTGAGAGTGACGGTTATATCCTGAGCGACATAAGTGGGTACACTATACATGCATCATAAAATTTTAGTTTCTAAATCCAAACTACTGTTTGATCCTGGTCCTGAAATTACATTAAACAAGCCTCCACAGCTCCCTGCTCACTAATAGCACACCACTACTGCGGGACCCGCCACGGGCGCCTCTGCTTGGCGCTGTCCTCTGCTCATTATTTACCAGATGATAAGACTTGCTGAAGTAGGTCTGTGTCTGTGAGCTGTACTTGCATGTGAGGAGGATTGGCTGTCCCTTCACAGGGACTTGGCTTGAATTCTTACAGCTCGGAGCTCCAGCTTGCCGTACTGGCCAAGAGCTGATGAGATCAGAGCCACAACTGTTCTGTTCTTATGAACACTCTACTGAAAGAACAGTGTCATTTGATTTAGGAGACAAGTATCGAAGACCTCCCACCTCCCCAACCCTTGGAGGGCCTGGTCAGAATGCAAAAGCTGTAGTGTAGAGCAGGTTGGGCCTCTGCAGCAGAAACTCCCCAAAGGGGTTAGCAGAAATGAAAAATTCCCATCTCATTCCTGACCTATTGACTGAGACGCCTTCATCGAGGGGAGGAATAGCTACCTGAATTAAAAGCACTAAAATAGCTGATGTCCAGGACATGCTCTAATTCTCCAAAGTTTTTGTTCTTAAACGCCTGCAGATGTAGCCACTCTGGATCTCAACCTCCACCAAGCAGCGTGGACAGCAGCTGCGGGTTTGTCTTTCGGAATCAGGCAGATCAGTAAGACAGGAAGCAAGTGTCGCACAGTAACCAGCGCCAGGCTAGTGCTTACAGGAATAGGGAGACCCTCGGGATGTGTCAAGTTGGCTCTGGATCTCAGCCATTCCCATAACCTGTCAACTCATTCACACATAAAACTACCCAATATGCCCTTTACTTGTAAGCTGACCACATCCAGTGGGGTAAAGCCTGTAAACTAGAATCCTACCTGTCCTCTAAATCCTACTGGGGCAATCAGGAAAGAGTGCAGGCTATCTAAAGCTACTCCCACTTGCTTTTTACACTTAGTTCCACTGAGAATGGTGAAGTAGGAATCATGATCCACTCTGACAGGAGAAAATCACTCACAGGGTAACTAGCAGCTGCAGAGCATGTAAGTATGCTACTCTGGGAGTGCACACAGATCAATTATTTGCCCAAGTTCATGATGAGCACACTAGACCACAGGCCAAGCACATGGGGTGAGGCTAAGACCATTCCTAAGCACTCTGGGATACCTACTGGCAGGGACACTATGGGTATAAGTGTACTTGATGACACAAAGCAACTGGGGAGTGAATAAAGTGCATTTATTTTCTTCTCTGTGGTTTAAAAAAAAAGGGGTTGGGGGGACACAAAACACCTCCTCCCGGTACCCAACGTCCATTGGCCTTGGAGAGGTGGAGCCATGACCATCCCTAGGAGAAGGTATAGGAGTAGAAGGCAGTGGCATTGACACTATAGTCCATGGGAAGGATGTGCCCAACGTGCTTGGCACCTAGGCTGGCCCCACCCAGGGCGGAGGAGTGGCGCAGCTTCATCAGGGTGAAGCTAGAGAAGGAGTTTTGAGCCTGGATCTCTCTGCCCTGGGTCAGTGCCAAAAGAAAACCTGGAGGAGAAAAACAAACCAGGAGAGATGACAGGGGCCCAGTAGCCTGTGGCAGAAATCAGGTGAAGATGGACAAAGAGGGAGGAAAGAGGTCCAGGCCCTGAGGTGCTGCTGTGGAGGTTCTAGCAGGGCCCACCCACACGCCAGATCCCGCAGACACCTGGATACTCGAGCCAAGTGATAGCTGTAGGGTGCTGGAGCCAGCATCCCCCAAGTGCCTGATGCCAGGAGCTCCGAGTAGCAACAGGGGTCCTTGAGCGATTTCAGAAAGTCAAATGGCAATGACACAGCTGCCTGAAACTAGGCCGCCAGGGGGATGCCGACACATGTCTTTCTTGCTGCACAGGACTGTGCTGACTAGCGATACCACCACATGTGGTCGGAAGCTCCAATTTTAAGTTAGTCTTTAGTTTATAAAGAGGCGATGCTAATTCATAAATCCTTTGGAAAAAGACATTTCCTAAGAGCTCAAGGAACCTCAATGGGACATTGTTAAAGAACACCCTGTGAGGCAAAGTTTTAAGAACCTTGGCCTGAGGCATCAGTGACCTGCTCAGCCCTCAGGACAGAGTTCCCAAGTTCTCCCTGGGGCAGGCAGGTGCTGGGGTCATCCTATCCCTTGTCTTTCTTTCCTTACCTCCCTTCACCTCTCCACGACATACTCACCTTCCTTCAGCAACTCCCAGCTCTTCCACACAGAGCCCACACACAGTATAGGGAGGCCAATCTCTCCTTGGAACAAGACCTGGGTGGAAAGCAGAAATGTACATTGGAAGCAAACAAGTCTCTCCCATGCCAAGCAGAGAGTTACTTAAGACCAGCCCATCCTATGCCAGTCAGTCACCCTGTAGCTGAGAACCAGAAGGCGAGCTCAAGAATAAAAGGAAGGAAATTCACAAAGACAAAGGAGAAATGGGAACATAAAGGGGGTTAAACAGCAATACAGAGAAAAGAGAGGCACAGGAACAGCAACATGGGTGAAAGAAAGGGGACTTGCACCACACTGAACCAAGCTTAAGTAAATAACATCCATAAGCTCATCTGTTAATGAATTTGCAGGAGGCCTAGACCAAAGACCACTGTGTGGTACACTTGCTACATTGTGTTGCCGTACCCTAAGTTCATTTAAAATGGTACCCAATTTGCAGTTTGATGGGACAGTCTCATCCTTAACGGAAAGGGCCAGAGCCCAACTTACCGGGTCAATCTCTGGCAACACTGCCACAATGTGTCTGCCCAGCATCTCGCCGGCCTTCCTGAAGATATACCGGGAAAGGGGATCTCCCTGCTGAGCACCTGCAGTAAGGAGGATGGAAAGGCACTGGTGAACACCCAGGCAGTGCCCAGCCCTCGCTTATTCACTGTGTGCACACATGCACACCTCAGCAGCAGCAGGACCTATGGCCGCCAGATGTCTGCTTCAGAATGGATACCCACTCGCGGCCTCTAGTACTGTGCCTCTAGTGGGCAAGCCGGCCTCTAGTACTGTGTCTCCATGCTTCATCTCCCAGCACAGCCAGGTACTTCCACTCTGGGAAGGCAGGCTGCCTGGAGGTGGAGCAGTCTAGGCACTTGAGAAGGGCTATCCTGACAGACACACTGGCACCTGCTATATCTGTGAGCTGACTGAGTCACTGGATCTGTCAGCTCTTGGGACCCAGGATCCCACTCAAGCAGCACTGGAACCTGTCAGGGGCCAATCTCCAACAGTCTATCAGTCAGTTCTTCCCAGCTCCTGCTCTGGAAGGGCTCAGTCCAGCAGGCTGCTAAGAGGATTCTAAAATGCCGAGGCTGCAACACTCCAGATTAAGGGAGTGTGGAGCACATAGTGGAGAAAAAGCAATGTGCACACAAGCATCCCTATGGTGGTTTCTCTGACACCCAGCCAAATTTGCCTAACAGCTCCATGATCCCCTAAGTATCACTGTTTATAAAAAGAAATAAATAGATTTCCCCAAAGGATGGCTGCTTCGTAACAGAAACAGACATACAGCTAACACAACCGTGACAATCATCAAGAAAAGAAACACAGGTAACATAAGACAAACAGCAATACTGCCCACGTGTCCTTCTGCCGCCACCCAGGCCTATTGGTCTCCAGGTCCATGGTAAGGAAGAACTGAGATCATCTGCCCAGGGGGAAACTGGCTTCCAGTTCCCACCAACCTATTAGGGGGACCTCTGGGAACAAAAGCAGAGAAAAGCCTGCCCCACGTCCAGTACCTTCTGCAATTTTCTGGCAAAACCCAGCAAACCTGCTTTTATCAAAATCCCTATACAGGTAGGTGAGGATTCCTAATCGATCTGGCACCTAAAAGACAGAGAAAGGATACAAGGTAGTTATCAACGCAAAGGAAAACCCCCGTTTTGCTCACCCAAGTTGGTGCTCCTAATTTCTCTCCACTGCTTGCAAAACGGTAATCATATTTGTTTTTTTAAATTCTGAATAAGCAGTTTTTTAAGGAGGTGGGCTTTGAGATTTCTCATTTGAGAGAAGTTCTTTGTCTTCCCCGGCATGGACACCATTGCTCCTTACAGGTTAGCACGAATGCAGATATCTACTCATCAGTGTCATTTGCAGTTCTTTGAGGTGCTCTTGAAAAGATTTCTTTGGCTGAAGGAACCCAAGGACTATCGCACACTGCAACTCTCCCTCACAGACACATGCACATTAGGAAAGTAAAGAAGTCCAGAAGGAGCCAAGAAATCAGTTTCTCCCACACTTGACCACAGAAGTTCCTTCTTTCACCCCTACAAACTTACACTCTTGTAATAACTCTGAAGGTCCTCAGGAACCAGTAGTTCTCCATAATACATGACTATGGGGGTTGTTGGAAAAGTCATGATACATTTTTTCTATGTATCCATTGCAAAAATGTGTCATGACTTTCACCACAACCCAATAAAATGGAAGGAGGCTGGAACAAAGCGCAAGCACCTCCAGCAATGCATAGAGCATGCTTCTCTCTCGTTAAGTCCATGTCAAGACTTTACAAGAACTACAGGATGGAAAGGGACTGGGGTGCTGTGCTGAGTCCAGTTTGCCTAACTCCACTTCCTACAGCAACTGCTTTAAGCAAGTTCTCTTCTTGGTCCCTCCCTATTCTTCACCTTGGCCCAGGCCAGGATGTCTTTAACCATCAACCCAAGCCTTGAGCATACAGGTCCTACTTTGCAGCACCTCTAATCTCCTTCTGCAGCCAGGTCCCAGCTTGTCAGATGGCCCTCAGGGAGACCCACTCAAATTGACCTTCCTTCTCCCTCCCACCTTTTACCTCTGGTTCAGCTAAAGGCAGCTGTTTCCAAATCTACAACTGTCCTGACAAGTTCACTCCCCACAACTCCCAGCCCCCACTTTATGGGCTCTCCTTCCTGCCCCACAGGTGGCCGAAACAGCCCATGTCCCACAGAGCAGACCACCCGCTACCAGTGTTGGTGGGCAATGCCTCCTGCTGCCCCCTCCACTTCTCTTTGCAGCCGAGGATGCCATGTGCCTTCACTCCCAACAGGGTCTAGCAGTCCCAGGATGAAGTCAGACTAACACTAGTTCCCCAGTCTACCCTTCCTCACGCATGGCACCCTCCTGGAACATACTGCCCACACTATCCAGGTCCTGTCCTCCTCCACTTCTTCTCCTCTGCCCTCCAACTCTGAACCATAACTCACCCCAACTTGCCTTTGGCTCAACCAGTCCCTCACCTGCTCAGTGTCCCACTGTTCTATCTAGATGCATGTTGACAGGGGCAGGGAGAGTACCTGGAAATAGTCAAACATGGCCTGTTTGACGCAGCCAATGTCATGAGGTGCCGCCTCTAGGTTGTCGATGGAGTCAAACACTATTTTCACTGCTTGGTGTGCAATCCAGTAAGCTGCAGAAAAGAGTAAGAATATGAGGGGGGATTTCCCTGAGTTCGCAAGGAAGGAACCCACACGTAGACTGAGTTAGTGATGTGCTTGGGTAGTTTAGCAAATTAGTGTCCCAGTTCCCACTGTTGAGGCCTCTAATTAAGCTGTAGCTAATCAACCCAGCTCGGGGACAGCTGAGGGAGAAGACAGACCAGGTGAGCCTATGTCACATCAACTCCTACCCAAAAATAAGAGACAAGGTCAGCCACTTGTCACAAACCACTGAAGTCACTGCCGTGAACTGGGCCCCAAGGACCCTATGGAAATGTACCCCTGCTATCCCTAAAGATTTGATGGACACAGGCTCTTCTACATTCTTTCCCACCAACAGATGGAGTGGCATCTCCAGGCAGCTACGACTGTAACGTTCAGGTGTCAACTCCTCCCCAAGGACCCCGCAAGTCAGCAGAGGTCAGCAACATAATCGGAATCCTGGGTACAAATCACGCTGAAGAGCAAGGCGAAATTAGTCCAGCCCTTGCACCTCCCACAATCTGTCATCATCTTGTTCTCAGAACATATCGTTCAGGAGCTACTTCCAGAGCTACTTCCAAGGGGAGGTGGGAGTAGGGGGGAGGAAGATGGGCAGCTGGGCAGCTGCAGGAGGGGAAGGGGGCAGGACATGGCACAGGCCGGTCTCACCTGAGCCCTCGTCCCCCATCATGTGGCCCCAGCCGCCGCAGCCACTCTCCGAGCCATCAGGGTTGATGAGTCTGCAGTTGGAGCCTGTCCCGGAGATGAGCACGATCCCACCTGGGGAGAGGGCGCGGGAGGCTCAGTGTGGCCAGGGCTCTGTCCCATGCAAACTGCTCCAAGTGAGAAAAGACAGAACAGAAGCCAGTCCCAGGTGCCACCACCCAGTGCTGTAGGGAGAGCTGAGTCTTGCTAGCTTCCTGCCTGAAGCTGGAAGGCCTGGCTCCCCAGAGAAGACTCCACACACCCAGGGCCCTTCCCAGGGGCACAGAGAGGAACATGAGTCTGTCTCCTTGCCCGGCGGCCTCCAAGCGGCTACTTGCTTTGCTGAGTACTTGCTGTGTGCCAGGAACAGAGACCCTGTTCTCACAGAGCAACCCATTCATGACCCTAAATGCCCTAATGAATAGTTGCCCCCCATTTTGTAGCTAAGGCACCCAGGGTCCCACAACTTCTCCACGGTGGCACAGGTGGCAAGGAGCTGAGGTTCAATGCCAACCCATGCTGCCAAAGGCTACTTACATTATGGCAGTGCCCCTCCCACTGTCTGCTCAGCAAGTGTTGCTTTCCCACCAGCAGTCCCCGCTGCCCTTAGGGCTCTGTCCTCTGAAGGGGAACCTTACAAAACATCCCTGCTTCTCTCCAGTCCTTCTGGTAGGGACTGAAGCAGAAGAAAAGAGGGAAAGAGAGGGATGTAATGTAGGCTGTCTTCGAGACAAACATTTCTACTTGGGAGCCAAATTCTGACGGCTACCTCTAAGGGGCTTACCAGAAAAACCAGATCTCAACCTCAGCCCTCCCTCCTCCTCCTCACCATCTGGTGTGGCTGTGGCAATGGAGCCGGCGGCATCAGTGGTGATAAAGTAGTTTTCACTTAGGTAGGGAAATCGGCTCCTCATCTCTTCCATCAGGATCCTCACTGCATCCTCCTGCTCCCCACCGCTCAGGGACAGGCCCTAGGCCACGCAGGAAGTGAGCAAGTACACAGAGCGGGACCCAGCCCCTTCCTCCACTTCCTTCCCTGCTGATGTGCTCTCCCTGCCCTCTGCATCTAGGCTTCCCTGCTTCCCAGTCCATGCTCCTTCCTCCCCACATAATGACAACATCTCCACCTCACCCAAGGTTTTGGCTACAAGAAGAACCTGGGCTGGGAATGGACAGAGGGGACAATAATGTCAGGTTTGGAGCTTAGGAGGAAACAGAAAGAAGCAGGCAGGAAAGCAAGTGGAGGCAAGGTGGAGAGCTAAGTGTTTTGGGGGTGCCTGCTGAACCCCACTGAGGATGCCCCGGGAGCAGGGGGGCTTAGAGCAGCTTGGGATCTGAGCTGGGAACAATAGCTAACACGAGTGAGCATATGTGGGTCAGGCTTTATGCTCACCTGTGGGTGAGGCTTTATGCTAGTTTCCAAATGAAGACAATGAGGCTGAGAGAAGCAAACTGAGGCTTAGGGTCACACAGATATCGAGAAGCAAAGTTGGGATTCAAACCAAAGTCTTAGTGGCTGCCCAAAGCTCTGCACTCTTCCAATCCTGTGGTTTGTGACAAATGAAGCCCTAAGAATGGATGAGATCCCCTGAGCTTCTAGAACAGATAAGCTCAACGCTTTTCCCTGTAGTCATCACACTCACCTAGCTCAAACTCACTCAGTGTTGCTGTTAGTCAATTCCCACATCTACCCCAGACTCACCAGGCTTCGGAGAGGGGACAGAGGATCCACCCCTGCTTTCTGCTTGGCCCTGGTCACCATCTCATTGATTCTCTCCACACACTTCTCTGTTCCAATCAGCTGGCCCCAATCAAGGGAAAGAGGAGTCAAGATTCGTAGGACCTTTGTTGCCCCTACAGGTTACTACATGAACCCCAAACCACCAGCCTCAAGAAGTGTCACAAAATGAACTCCCAACCAATTCACTGGTCCCCTCAAGTGTGGTCTGTGAATTTACCCAGTGATTTGTGCTGAGTCCGTCTGCTTCTGCCACGATCTGCCCATCCTCTGAGACTAAAAGGACCTTGGACTTTGTGCCTCCCCTACAGAACACAAGGGGGCACTCAGTTTTGCTCAGAAAAAAAAAAAAAAAATGCAGCAGATAAAACTAAGCTCCTGCAGTTCTTGTCACTGGTACAGCCCAGCATGGAAGCAGCTTTGACACACCCACCATTCCCAAACCCACCTCTGTGGGATGGTATTTGTACTCTTAGAGCTTAGCTTCCTTTGGGGGTATTCTGTTTATCCTGCAATACTCATATATCTCCTAGACCTCAAAACTTACGTGTAGCCCACTCTCACAGCTCCTTTAGTTAAGCCTCCATAGCTACTAGGTGTTCATTTATATTAAGAGTATGTTTAGCTATTTTCCTGTCTGCCCCTCTTCAGACTTCAAGCTCCACTGGATCAGGGACTGCTTACCTATCCTCATGCCAGGCACAGGCAACACTCCACAAATGTGACACAGCTCTGTTTCGCTTACAGTAGTTAAAGGCCCTTTGCAAAATCCAGCTGCACTTGCCGTAAGTCTACAAGATACCCTGTAAGAAACACTGACTAGATAGTGGGAAGAGTTTTTATCTATTTATGCAACTTAATGGTGAATGTCTATTATTGAGGGAAATAGTTTGGAAGGAGGCCTGGGGTGGTGTGATGTTTGTTTCTTTATTAATAGGTACTTTAATAACAGAAGACACAGAAGACTCAAAGATGACAAAGTTTCAAGTGGTAGTGAATGCATGAAGTGGCAGATTCAATACCCATAAGAATCTCTTAACTGGGGGGGCTCCCTGGTGACACAAGGGGTGGAAAAATGGCTCAGAGCTTATGTATGGATGTAAAAAGGGTGAATGCAAACTTCAGAATTTTGTTATTTTTCAAAGTGCAACAGATAAAGGGGATGGGGGGAAACAATGCATGTGAATAAAACGACTTTGGGGTCCATGAGTCAGCAGTGAGATGTAGCTGCTATAAATGTGACTCCAATCTCAGATTTAAAATTAAGTGCCCAGACAGAAACAATAGCCACCTACTATTATGCCCTGATTTGGCACGCCCAGATTCACAGAATACTCTCCCTGCCAAGGGATTCGGCAATCATCCTTTCTCGTAATTCTACTCATGTGGCCAGTGAGATCTTACTGAGCAAAGGTCTTATCCCTTTCAAGCGGAAGAGCTATTACACAAAGTCCACAAGACAAGCTCCTGAACAGGAAAAGATTCAAGAATAACAAGAAGATTCAATGTAGCTGAGATTCCCCAAAATGTCTCCAGAAATGGAAGGGTTTCCAGAATCCACACAGGCCAGCCCGCTGGCTCTCACAGCTGCTGCAGCTCCCAGACCTCAGCAAATATCTTTGTCCAGGCATTCACCACATTCCTGCTCCCTATCCCTCCTCCCACAACTTCACACCTGACACCTGTTCTGCAAAACTCTCTCCTGGGTCCGGAATGTGGGAAAGGAGCTTCGCGCGCTAAAGATCGTGGAGTGGGTCATACGTGGGAGAAACGAGCGTGGGTCCACTGTGAAACACAAAAGCCCCCCCCCCAGGGGTGTGGCCGTAGCACGCGCAGAGTTCCCGCAAGGCACACGTCCGCGCGCAAGTGCATCCCGCGCGTGCACACGCCCCTCGGAAGACCAAACTCGCAGGGTCCTGATGCAGGAGGCCAACGGCCCGCCCACCGCTTTCCTTTCTCCCAGGCTCCGTCAGCCGAGCCGCACTCACCCCTCTACACCTCCGTACAGCGCTGGCATGATGCTGCTACCGCCGCGGCTCCTCCCGCCGTTTACCACCTTCCGCGGGTGCGTCCCTCCCGCCCCGCAGCCCGCATCACGTGGCCGCCAGGGAGGACCAGCTGCCTCCGGTGCCAGTGCGCGTGCGCGGGGTCTGGCCCCGCCCCACTCCCCTGCCGGGGTGGAGTTGGTGGACCCGAGTGCGGCCCTCAGCATCTTCTGCAGACCGCTTGCACGCTGCTTCCGGAGACGGGTACGGATTCTAAGCGGAGGAGCTGGAAAGGGGTGTCCAGCTCAGACTCGCAGGATACGTCCCCGCCTGTGTGCCCTTCCGCACCCGGAAGTCCACGGCAGCCCCTCATGACGCATGCGCAGTGTTTCTGTGCTGTGTGGACTCGGGCCGCTTGCTGGACAGATTGCCTCACGGAGGTGTGGTCTCGGGGAGTCCTGCGCAACAGGTGGAGGGTCCTGTGTGCTTCCTAGCAAGTTATTACAATGTTCAACCAAACACCTGCGGGCAAGGGCGGAAGGAAGTGCACAACCTGCCACTGGATTTTATGCTGTACCATAGGTAGTCATGTTGTTACAGGGTAGCCCAGAGTGGACTGGGCCGCTTGTCTGTGAGGCCTCACGCTCACAATTCTGCTATACTGCAGGCACACACAAAAGGATCAATAACGGGTTTATTTACAAAAGGGGAAAGGAATACGAAACAACACAGGGAAAGAGAGCAGGATACAAAATAAGTGGAATACCTTATGGCTAGGCTGACAACATCTCAAGTCAGGCCTTCGGGAGAGCTGCTTCCCAAGCGAGGAGGGGTGGGGGAAGAGAGAGAGAGATGCAACCGCACCCTATTTATTCCCCCAAAATGTCCCGGAAAGCTCCGCCCTGGGTTCCTGCAGTTCTCTCTCTGGTACTGCTGGGGGTTGTCGTTTTCAATCACTGGAGTGGTGTGTAGGGTCTAGAAAGCTGGAGTAGGGGGTGGAGTCCATAAGACTCTGCAGAGTTCCTTTAGGACATCCTTCCCCTTAACAATGTGAATATGTATAACCTCTAGTAACTAGAAGTGAAACTGTGTAAGAAGAGCCCTCGGAGTTTCCTTCCAGCCCCCCAAAAGCCAGCTTTCAACTAATAGTACCAGTTAAGCCTGGATTAGTTGTGTGTATGTTACAGGGCAGCAAATCTGTTCCAGGACAGGGGGAGAGAGACACCCCTGAAGCCCCAAAACCTGCCCGCTCTAAGTGGGTTCTGCCATCCGCCTCGTCAAGACAAAACATATAAAACTTTAATAAAAAGGGACTTTAATACAGTAAATATACAATACGGAACACAAAGAATA